GCGTCATCAGAATAAAGTTTACACCTGTGTACTGTAGAACAGAGGTTGGAAAACTATGGCCAATGACCAAATCTAGCCCCTTCCCTGGTTTTGTAGGAGCTGAGGGTATTTTTTATATTTTTAAGTGGTTATATAAATACCTACATAATCTCTATTTCATTCTGGGCCCTCAAAGGCTATGATCCTATTAAGAACAAATTTGCCTACCCCTGCTGTAGAAGAAAGTTGGAAGGCATGTACTGTGGTTAATCCATTGCTAGTTTTTGACCTATAATAGTGCTAATTTCATATGGTTTAAACTAATATATTTTGAGCAGATTCTTCTTTCAAAATGCTTAAAATTATAACTTGGGCTCTTGGAGTGGAAGAGGTAAATTTATCTGGAAAGTTCACATATGTGGACATGCTCTTTTTTTTACCATCTTGGGGAATGGCGCATCACCCATCAGCAGGTGCCTTTCCAGAGCTTACCGAAGGGCTCCCTGCTGCACAGGCTTGCGCTGTTCAGTAGTGGCACTGAGTCATTCCTTACCAAGAGCTCTCTAGTAGAAAACCATCTTTTTATCTTAGCCTTCTGGGTGCCAGGAGTGTGCTAGACATCCTGAGGAAAGAGATGGCTATGATCGCCACCCTGAGGCCTCTGCTGAGCATGTTGCTTGTGCCTTTTTTCTGGTGAGAAGGAGAATAAGTGGCTGCCTTTTTCAGGGGGCTCGTGTCTACATAACATGTTGCTTGAATGTCCTTTTGTGCAACTAGAGTGTGGTTCTCACCCTCTTGTGGTTTCCACCTTTGATTTTTTCCCAGTATTGTTTGTCCCTTCATCCAACACATTAACACCGTCATTTATTTTGCGTGGTTTGTTTTCCATTCTCCTCGCCGCCTCCTTTGTACCTCGCTTCTTTTGATTATTAAGTAAGGTTTGCTTGTTAAAACCTCCAGGTGACCTTCTGTAGTGACCACTCTTAGCAGTAGTGCTAACTTTAACCTCAGTGGCTCAGTCTGTGCTCAGGTAAGGCAAGAAAACCCAAGATGACTTGGGGCCTCTGAGCCAGGCCTATGTCTGAACAGGGCCACACTCTGTCCTGGAGAAGGGAAACTATTTCAGAAAAAAAAATTCTCTGGAGTTTATAATTTTATCATTAAGTATGGTCAGAACCTTCAGTCAAGGGTTGGCAGTACACACTGCTGTGCTCTGGATTGTTTTTGAGGCTCATATGGCAAATTGGAGTTTTAGATTTTCTTCCTGTTTTGGGATCATTGTTCTGCCCTTCAAGGCTATCTTCTTTCAGGACAGGATGCTGTTCGTTGATGGAATGTAGGACGACATCCACTGAGCACCAAAATAAGAAGTAAATAGCTCGAGCTGACCTTTCCTGACTTTTCATACAGGTATTTGTGCTTGTGTTAGACTAAAGTTTTTAAACTACTTTGGAAATTGCTAATAAAATTGCATCCTGTTAATTATTGTCTGTACTTATCCATTCCTTTGCATGACTGCACCACCACTCTGACCTTGGCTGTCAGAATCTGGACTGTTGCAGTCGTCTCCAGTGCAATCTCTCTGGCTGCAAATTTGACTCTAGCATAGTCACCAAATTAATCTAGCTGAGGCACAGCTCCAATCTTGCCATTTTCCTGCTGGAAAAGTTTAGTGCATCCCCTCTAGTCCAGAAGGTCCCCATGAAAGTTGAGTCCTCCACATTTTCTTTCACTACTCCTTTTTCTTAATACTCATAATTGATCATTACTCATAAATTGATCACTGTTGTTGTTAGTATTATTACTCTGCAGTAGATATCTTATGCTGGCCTGCGTGGGCTGCTCCTACCAAGATACACCCACTGCCTTTGTGTTACTGTGTGGTGACCCTGAGGCCTTTGCTTCAGGTGACCCTGAGGCTAGTGCTGCTTTCTCTCTGGAATGTGGATCCATCTTTTGATAACTTGCTAAAATCCTGCTCTTGCTTTAGGGTGCCGCCTTTTTCCCCAGGAAGTTTCCATGGTTTCCCAGCTGGAAACATGTGCTCCTGCAGCTCTTAAATATCCCTCCTGAAGCTTGTGTCCCAAATTATTTTTATATGTTGGCACATGTGTGTGCTTTGTCTGAATGTTGACACTAAACTCTTTTTCACGTCCCTCCTCTCTGTGAGTGAGGACATGATTTTGTCTGTGGTAAATGCTCAAATATTTGTGGAGTCATCTTGGGCTTAGGTGGGTCTGGTTAAGAACTGCGCTCGGGAAGCCCCTGTAAAGCATTTTCCAGAGCACTGGCAGAGCCTGTGCAGCCAAGGCCAAGGGCATGGTCAGGGTTCCAGGGCACCTGTGTGCTGCCCCACGGGCTGCTCACCTGCCCCGGGCTCTCTCTGCCTTTGCTTCCTTCTCACTCAGACTGTGGGTATTTCCTCTCTTCCTATGTGTAGGAAATTGCCATCTAAAAAATTTAAACAATAACAGGCACATACATTTATTTCTTTGGCCTTCCCTCCATGACTCCATTGCTCTCACTGATGAAAGTGACAGTTTTGTTTAAGGTACTACTCCATGCCACACACTGAGTCCTGTAATTACTGGAAGTATTTCACTTTAAATTGGATAAACCTTGAAAGTTTCCTCTTACTATCCCCATCTGACAGATGAGGAAACTGAGGCTTGAAACAACAAAGTAATTTGACAGGTCAGAGCAGAGTTACAGTTTGAGCCTAGGTTTGTCTGTCCCCACCTCCCCCATCTGTGTTCCTTTCCTCCCACCAGTCTATCAAGTGACAAGGCGATCACTTGGGTGATCACTTAGGTGACATCCACTCACATGTTTTCTCCAACATGGCCTTTGGTAATATAGGTCCTAAAGGCCCAAAAGTTCAGCATGAAAGGATGCTGACATCTGTCTCACATCTCTTCTCTTACCCAACTAAACCCAGTAACCACAGGTAACGTGAAGGTGCTAGGAGAACACTTCGTATAGGAAGAATGATGGCAATAAATACAGTAATGGGAATAACACTTTAGAAATCATACAGGAAGTACATGT